GTCACAGACTTGCTGTTTGCCAAACAAAAGGAACTGCTTCAAGAGCACAATTCCCCGCAACTCCATGCAACATGCAGGCAATGAGGCAAAGGAACAAGTAAGTCAAGTCGTAAGGTTGGATCAGTCATCATTCCAATCACAACAACGTCGGCCATCAGCGACGAAAGACTTACCTAACCCGTGCCACCGTCTCATCCCACTTGCTCTTGGCTCCCTGCCCCAAACTGGTAACCATGCAATCCAAAAGTGGATGACGTCCCATTGTTTCTTGGAAATACATGTCATGTACTGGAGTAAGAGTTAAAGGAGCAGCCACCTTCTTGAGCAACGCGAATACAATAAGAATGTGTGGGACCCTGAGTATAACTACCTATCATATTGCTTTGTCGTGATTTGATACTAATTATAGTCTACATGTATTGGTACAACTGTTGCACTTGCTGGAGAGTTTGAACGGTTTATAGCAAAGGTGACGAAAGTCCTTCTTGAGATCGCCATCGCCACTCCAATTTTGCAAGTGTTAAAAAAAGTGTTAACCATTCAACTTGTGGGTGCACTATCAAAATAAAGCCTGTACCAGTACTTAGTAGAGTACTTCCTAGCTACCAGGTAGCTGTACCAGCTGCGGGATGGCCATAATTAATTAGGCTTTAAGCGTCTGAAAACCTCCTTCACCGGATGCTTAATAAAAGACTGCATGGTGCCCGGTCACACATAAGTCCATAGTGGATCGTGTTGTTGCAGAATGCTTAGAGATCGGTTCGAAATGCTTCATAATTTGATGAGAATAAATTTGTCAGCCATCCGGTGAATGTGAAGACTTGAAGAGTTCGCAGCACCATGACGAATCGGCACTCTTACACTCCCAGCCTCTCAGAAGCAAACAAAGAGGCTGCTGATATCATCAACAGCGATAGACAGCAGCGGAGAGTTGCATCTATTACATCTACTACTACAACACCATCTACTACTGCTAGTAGTAAGCAACCAGAAACAGAGGGGAGGAGAGGAAAGAATAGAAGCAGTGCCACTCGCACCACTGAAAGCAGTGTGGAACGCAAGTTGGCGAAAGAGGTGGAATTCTGGGATTCAAATTATCAATCTGGCGGTAACAAAGACCTTGAAGTTGACAGAGCTGAGCTTACCGTGAGTCAGGAACCTTTCGTAAGAACAACAAGGACAAGTCAGAGTAGCCATTCCAGCAACACTAGTAGTGGAAGACGCTCTCCATTTACTAGAAGAAGCAGCCTGAGTACTAGCAGTACTGGCAGCAGACGATTCAAGATGAGAAAGGTCAATTCTACTGGTAGTAACGGTAAGGGAGGTGGAAGCAACGGTAACAAAGAATCGGGACTCGAAGAAACAATGACAGGAAAGGCCCAAGTTTTGGGAGCCACAAATTCTGGTATAAAACGTACAGCTACATCGGGTTCAACCGAAGGCAGGAGAAATCGTGGCGGAAATCGATCGAACCATTCTCAATCGACATCGAGCACGTTACGACGCGCTGTTACCGATACAGGAATGTCCCGCTCCAAACACGAAGTATCTCCTACCACTAGGTCCAACAACAAGTTGACTTCGCAGTTCATGAGAAAGGGAGTTCCCACCAAAGGATTCCCCACTCATGCCACTGCCATCTCCACGACTGCTACTATTAATAATAGTACTTTACTAGCCGAACACTCGGACCTCAGTGATCCCGATGACGACGATGATGATGATGATGACAATGACCACCAAGACGACCCTCTTTCTCTGACCAGTACTACTGGTACGACTACTACAAGCAAGAGGACTGTAGTGAGCCCACATCACTTAGTCGAAACACCACGTTGGGAAACTCGGCCAAGAGCGAACACAGTGCCCGGAGCAACACGTGTATGCCACGAAGAGAAAGTTACAAGAGTACCGGGTCCGATTTCGATCCGCCCATTCTCAGGTCGAATGAAAGCGCGGCTTCTATTACGGATCTCTTTCGGGATCACACCACTCCAGCAGCCATTGTTAGTTTTGGTACCATGCCTCGGGCTGACCGCACGGGACGACTCAAGTCCGTCAATATCGACGACAGTCGTCGAGACAGTGGCGGATTTTTACAGAATTCCATTCGAAACTTTCTTGGAAGACGCAGCTTGTCCGAACAAGAAACAAACAGCCAAACGGGCAGTACGTTACTAGCCGGACTGGGAGACAAGTATCAAGTCGATCAGAGTGTCAACCTTATGGATATGGAATCTGCCGAACGACAAATGCAAAAACGACAAAAGAAACAGCAACGCAAGAGTTTCAAGGATATCTTCTTTGGAGACGAAATGCAGTTTGATGACGTGGGAATGGATGATAACTCACACGCATCCTTCAAGCCACGACGCAGTGTCATGATTCAACATCAGTCCAAACCACCACCGCCGTGGACCAAGTGGTGCACGGCCATTATTGTTTCACTTGTACTTTTGGGGATTGTGGGGCTCCTGGTGCCACTTGTCGTGCAGGGGTCCGTCGGTGGTGGTAACAATAACAGTGAGGCCGTTACCACACCCGCTCCTACGGCTCTTACCACCACACTGCTGACACCGACAGAGACACCCGCATCTACTAGTACTACAGAGACCGAAGAAGAAGAAGAGATGTTGTCGGTTGGTGCTTCCGAAAGTTCCGTCATTCCTCCGGCCGAACAAGCTGCCAGTCTCAGTCAAGAACAAAAAGAACAACTAGACAACAAACTGGAACCAGAACAACAACAAGAATCTACTACAACTGCACAAGTAGTAGTTGAAGAAGGAGAAGGAAAACCACCCGAAGATCTATCCATTGCCAAAAACGAACTCTGGGATGATCTCGTTGGATTGATCACCAGAAAGGGTGTCACACCGCAAGGTGACTTTGATGATCCAACCACCAGTGCCTACAAGGCTTTGGATTGGATGATTGAATACGATAAATCAAATGACTTGTCCATCATTTCATCCGATACTGAATCCAACCTTCTCGAAACATACGCACTCGCTGTCCTATACTTTGCCACACATCCGTCCATTGGCGCCAATACAAGACCCATTGTCAAGAGTTTCTCACTCAAGACAAACCACGGCAATAATGAGAATGAGAATGAGGATTCTGCTGCGGCAACAGAGACAGAAGAAACAGAGAGTAGTCTGCTCCTCGAAGAACTACAGCACGATTGGATACATCAGTCCAAACCAAAGTGTCATTGGAAGGGTGTACGATGTAGCCATCTTCACAATGTTGTCAAGCTCAATGTCACACGCAGTCATCTCGCAGGGACGCTGCCCGCCGAATTGAACGCATTGCAACACTTGATTGAAGTGGACTTGAGTCACAACAATATTGGTGGAACTTTGCCGTCAACATGGCCTACTGGATTGACACACATGCAGAAAGTCGATCTGTCCCACAATCGACTCGTGGGTGCCGTACCTGACACTTGGAAGGAGCTCTGGCTTGACAACAACGTCGTGGTGGAGCTGAGCCAAAACGAACAGCTCGATGCATCTTCGGGTGGTTAGTTCTGTGTAGTAGTAACGTAACGACTAGTTAGTTAGTCAGCAGTCAGTAATGCCCTTCTACCAACACAATACGTAGTGATCAACAGAGGCATAATATGCTTCACGAGACAGCTAAGAAGTGCTGTCTATAATGCTGGCGGCAACGCACGACAGATTATAGCCAGACTCATAAAGCTACTAGTAGGTTGACATTCTGGGACACCTACAGGGCTATTGAGTTTGAGTGGGTTGATTATCTATAAAACGGAAGCCAGGGAGGGCCTGGACCGTCCGATGGTTTTCACTTGAAATTCCCACGACTGAGGACAGCTTAAAACATGCCCTTAAATCTTCAATATGCCGTTAAATCTTCAATATGCCCTTAAACATGTCCTTAAATAAATATGACCTTAAAAATGAATCTAATGCCTCACCAAATGTCATTAAGCCTTTGAAACACCGTAGAACATGCCCTTATCACGAATGAACATGCCTTTAAATAAATATGCCCTTAAATCGGAAACTTGCGCTTTTAACACCACCTCCGTGGGTCTACCCCCACAAAAACAAAACAAAACGACCGAGAAGTCAAAATTAGCACCATCAACAAAGATGGGGATAACAATACAAACTACACCATCCTTTAGTAGCTATATTAGAATGAGGATCCCCATCATAGGATCACCTGAAAATCTGAGTTGTCATGTGTGGGAGCCCATCTAGATAGCAAGCTTTGTTTGCTTTTACCCATGCTTCATGGCTTACCAGGGACTACGGATGGTCTTGCGAGAGCTAGAAGGAGCCACCAGCAAGCCTCTAGAACTATCTTGGACAACCGGTATATTGGTGCGTTGTATTCGGTGGCGGAAGATAGGCAAAGCTGAATGGGACGTCGTGTTGACGTTAGGACGGCACGACGGCCTCTTTGTTGAAACACCCGTGGTCCGCTCCTGTGGTACCAATTCGGTTTGCTGCGTCTTGCCAGTAGCTTCCTGTAGAACAAATTTGCCGCGTCCTGAACTTCCAATAGAGTGCGCACGCACATCGTTTTCGTTGTTGTTGAGATGGCTCCTACTGTCGATCCGTCGGTCCTGCGGTCGATCCTATCCTGCTGTTGACTGCGGCAACTCTTCTCGTCGCCTTCGACACCATCGTCGTCGAAGAGTTAACAGACATCTTCGTCGCCTCCTCCGATGGACTCAAGAACCACAAACACTGGAATGCTACCGGTAGTATAGTAGCCGTAAGAAAGGTCGTTTCTTCGCTTGCTCCAAAACTCGAAAAGCCGTTGCGAGATAACAGCGGAAACGGTGCCTTCGCCGTTGTTTTGTCCTGTTGGTATGACACCACTCCAGACCACAACCATCAGTCGACAAGCTACCGACCCAGTCCATCGTCGCGGTGTCTTCCAACGCTCGAAGACTTCTCGACTTCTCCCATCGTGAAGCGGCGGCGAGCGAGGTAACGAGATAACAGCCGCAACAGCCGCTCAGCTGCAGCCAAAGGGCTCCTTTCAGACCTTCAGAGCTCTCTACTTCAACCCTTGCTTTGAGACCATTAGATAAGCTCAGACCACCATTTTAACCTGTCAAAAGTCGTTTCAATTACGTCTCCTCGAGACGACGCTCCTTTTAGATTCCCCCTCAGTTGCACTCCGAAACCGATTCGCTCGCGTTTACTGTGTAAAATAGTGTACCCGCACTTCAGTTGCAGAATCAACGGTCATGTGTATCTGTAAGTACCAAACCTGTATTTAACGGGTTTTAACGTCTGTACAGGTGTGTGCGTGCACATACGGTAACGCGACCGTAACCGCTACCGGTACCGGTACCGGTACCGTCACCGAAACCGTTAACGTACCAGTAACTGTCATGGAAACGGAACGAGGAATACGTCAACTTCTGTACATTCAAGTTCAAAACCCGATGAACAATGTTGGAACACGTCAGAGTACGAATTTGTATAAGTTATTTGGAATTGGTTAATTGAATGCTGCTTCGGACTGTAACATTTCATCGTAATTGTCGGCGGAAAGAGTATCGAAGGGAATGTAGCGACTGAAAGTTTCCAGCATATGCACCATTTCGTCTGGCATCTGGTACTTTGTTAAATCGAGCGACAGTGGTTTTCGCAAGAAGAGGCCTTTCATTTCTCTTACTATTGAAAGTACCACGTAAGCCCAATTATCTGCATAGTGCCAGTTCCACACCAACAGTTGCGATGCTGTGTATCCCTGCAACTTGTGTCCTGTGGTCGCTGAATTGCTAACAAGAGGAAACTGGATTCCTTTCATGCGAACCTCAATCTTTTCCTTTTCGATTTTCATCTTGCACTTGAAGGACACTCCGTGTGTCTTGACATCGAAACATCTTGGCAACATGTCTTTCATCTCGTGTTTTACTGTGATTCTGTCAATTTGGGTCACACGGAAGACACGGATTCTGATTTGATGATGAAAGGCTGTTCTCCGGGCTTTACATGTACCTGGCGTAGGAACACTCTCGAACCGTTTGCCTGGTCCATTCGGTACGTTTTCATTCTTTGTCAGCATCATGAGGGCAGTTGTAGTAAATCTTCAATGCCGGATCAACCGTCCGTTGTCCATGTCACAATCCGATTCGCCACATGTTGTCCAGAAGTGTTTTTTGATGCGGTTGCTTGTTTACTGGAACGTACTGCTTGTGATCATTTTACATTTCCATGCTGTCCATCAAATCATAATAGCCCCATGTAAACATTTCAGCATCGCAGGAGCATTTCGACACAGAATTGCTGGAAAACTGTAGTGTTGACCACGTTTCGCTCCCAATTATAGTGGCATGAAACTTGAATGTTGGAGTTGGTTTATGGTTCTTTGACACGACACAGTGATGGTTGATGCACATTATGTCATCCTTGGTTGGCTTCCCCGCTCGAAAACGTTTAAGTCTTTCGACCCAAGGAATATCATTTCGAAATCGATGCATTCCATCCAACTCGATATACGCATTAGAGAGTACCTTGAAAAGCAGCGCATTCTCGTTTGTAAAGGGGATCTCGTTTGGTGGCGTTAACTGTGAGAAGTCTCCCGCGAAAACCATGTTAGTAAGTCCTCCGAATGGCTTTGAATGTGTTTTCCTTTTTGTCTTGACAGGTCTTGTAAAATCTTGTTGATATGGCCTTCAAACGCAAATGAAACTTCGTCAATGATCACCAATCTTTATCCGTCCCATCCTTGTAAGTAGTCAACATCCTCGACTGTTCTCCGTTTTATCCCGATAGCGCTGTGTGTTGTCTCACCGTGAAGTAACGTAGCGGCTACGCCTGATAAGGCTGTAATAACTATCGTTCGTGAAGTGAATTCAGAGCCAATCAGTTTACAGAATTCGCGTGCGTAGGCTTTGGTAAGGTTGATCACGGTAGTTTTGCCACTGCCTCCAGGACCGTGGAAAAGACATATGAGCTGGGTTCCTTCGCCTCCTTTCAATAGTTTCAGAG